CATCATATCTGTAACACAAAGTACCGTGTATTCCAAATACAGTGTTCAGAAAAGGCTTGAGAAGAACATTGGGTGAAGGAGTTACAACGCCTGTTCGTCCTGAACTGCACTCATTTTCACAATGATTATCTTTTCCCTGTCCTCGCAGTGCTGAGTCTGAATGTAGATTTGAAGTGGCTTCTGAGTTAAAAATGCCGTTCCCAATGCTAGGCTTGTAATTACTCAGACGGCATGAAAAGTTAGCAAACGTTTCTCCTCTCCTTCTATGTTTGCATTTATTTTTACTATTCTCATTTGACATAAGAAAATTGTTTGAAAGTGATTTATAGTCTGAACAGGATCTTGAAGCTCCAAAGGATTATGCTTTGTATTATCAATTATGTCTACTTTTACTGACTTTGATCAAAAAATGCCTGGTCATGATCAGATTCCAATGACAATATCAGGAATTGTTAGAAAGTTTTGCCAGGTGGTGGTGGTGCACACATTTAATCCCAGCACTTGGGAAGCAAAGGCAGATGAATCTTCATAAGCTGGAGGCCAGCCTGGCCTACAGAGAGAGTTACAGGACTACACAGAGAAACCTTGTTTCTAAAAACTGGAAGAAGAAGAAGAAAAAAAAGAAAACAGAAAGTCTAATGTTGGGGGCTGGAGAGATGGCTTAGCAACTGAGAGCACTGGCTGCTCTCCCAGAGGACCCGGGTTCAATCCCAAGCATCCATGTGGCAGCTCACAACTGCCTGTTACTCCAGTTCCAGGGGATCGACACCCTCACTCAGGCATAACAACAATGCACACTAAAAAATATAAATAAAGAAATCATTTTTTAAAAGGTAGAAAGTCTGATACCAAGCAGGGGTCAGATCTTGCTAAAGGTAGTGTGAGCTCTGCTCAGACTTCGGAGACTATGCGCCTCAGACAATAATTGCTACGTGGTGACAGAACTGCCCTACAGATGACAAGCCTTTAAACTTTCCATCCTTACAACCAGAGCAAGCCTGGCCGTGGGGTACACAGGAGGCCTTAACTGTACTATGTATTTAGACTCATGTAACCCGATTTCACTTATTGTGCTAGTTTTCTTTTTGATGTGTAAAAACTCAAAATTCACTTCTAAACAATGTTAAAACTGAACAGTTTCTTAAGAGTTATACATCTTGTCTTTTCTTTTTCTTCCTTTTTTTTATTTTTTGCCTTAGACTTACTTCTGTAGGTTTTTCTCTGAAAGCTTTTTTCTACTCTGAAAGATTTGTTAAAGCATTTTAGAAAACATCTTTTAGGGATAAGGTGGGTTATTGCAAGGAAAGAGAGGTAAAATAGAACAGTTAAGAAACAGTGGATATTTATTAAGTGTGGGAGCAAAAGTTCCCCTGAGTATAATGCAAATGTATGTAGAAAAGAACCTCAGCCTCGAGGCACTGAGGTAGATAGGGGTCCTAGAGTAGTTAATACCCAGGTTGTTGATGTAGTCACTGTTCCTTTGCTGTGAAGAGACACTGTGACTAAGGCAATTCTTATAAAAGGAAGCATTTAATTGGGGGATGGCTTACAGTATCAGAGGGTTAGTCCATTATCGTCATGGTGGGAGCATAGCAGGCATTGTGATGGAGCAGGAACTGAGAGCTACATCTTGATTGGCAGGCATAGAGAAGGAGAGAAGCACTGGGTTAGACGTTATCTTTTGAAAACCTCAAAGCCCACCCCCCAGTGACAATTCCTCCAACAAGGCCACACCTTCTAATTCTTTTAATCCTTTCAAAGAATTCAAATAAAATGTGAGCCTATGGGGGCCATTCTCATTCAAATTACCACTGAAGTCTTACAGAGCAAGTAGTTAGGTAAAAGTAGAAAAGATAGCCCAATGAAGATACAGAGGTCCACAGAGCAAGGGTGTTCCTGGTCCTCTCAATTCCTTAGTCATTTGTGGAAGGAAGATGGCCCAGCCCTGACCTTTTTAAAAGTTATTAAAAATAACCTTTCCCTCATATATCTCAAATGATAATCATAGTCTCATGGAGTAGTTTCTTATAGCTGCTGTAAGTAAAGGCCACAGACTTGGCGGTTTAAACATCAGAAAAGTATGGTCCCACAGTTCTGCAGGATAGAATACTAAGATCTAGGTGTTGTGTTGTCAGGATGGCTCCTTCTGAGGTCAGTAAAGGACAGTCCATTTCATGCCAGTTGCCTACTTAATGGTGGCTAGCTGGTACTCTCTGGTGCTACTTGGTTACAGATGTTTCACTGTAACTTCTGTCTCCATCAGCATCTGCAGTCTGTTTTTATCCATGCTCTTGCTTTTTCTAAAGAGTATCAGTCTTATTGGATGAGAAAGTTCTCCTATTCCAGTATAAAGTGGATTGTTGTTGAGACAGGGTCTCTGTAGCCCAAGACTGCCACAAAGTTGCTATTCGGAGTTCAAGGATGAACTTGAACTCCTGATCTTCCTCCTGTAGGCCATAAAGACCTACAGCGGCAGGCCTAATGAGAAGAACATTACTGTTATGGACAGAATTCCCAACTTTCCAACTGAAACTGCTCCAGGCATGTTTCAGTTTAAACCTGAGAGAACAAAGAATTGAAGAAAACTTAGATTACGATAAACACGCCAATTAAAAAATATAGAGAGAAAAGCCAGATAAACTTAATGTAGCACCTTATAAGCCAGGTCAAAACTGAAAAGTCGCCCTGTAGGGGACCCTGGTACCAGGAAAGGGAACACCTAATATACACAGGGCACCATCAGAGCTACAAAACCAAAACAAAGCCCCAAATCAAACTAACCAATGAGGTGGTTTGAATTAAAATGGCACCCACAGGCTCATCAAATATTGACTGTTTGGCTTTCCGTTGGTAGACTATTAAAAGGGTTAGGAGGGGGTGTGTTCCACCATGTCCAGTGTCACTCTCCCTCTACCTCCTGCTCCCAGATGAGGATGTGAGCTCTCAGTCACTGCTGCAGTGCCAGGCCTGGCCGCCTGCTGCATGCTCCCAGCATGGCGGTCATGGACTCACCCTCTCAAACCGTAAGCAAGCCTCCAGGTAAATGCTCTATTTCATATGCAGCTTTCTTTGATCATGGTGTCTCTTCACAGCAACAGAACAACTAAAACAACAAATAATTTTAAAAATAGCAAAGAACGAAAACTAGAAGCATAAATGAGCAAACTATGTTATCTTTATTGATATTCCCAGACAATTAGAATGTCTAACACTTGTAATCCTTACCGTTCCTTTTTCTGACTTCTATAAATTGCTTTATTTAGCCTATTGAATTTCTTGTTTATTTTTAAAGTTAGCATAAAATGCAATAGGTTTCATGATGGCATTTTTACACCTAATTGGTTTTGTTTTCCCTCCAGGCCTTGTACCCTTCTACTCCTGGCAGTTTGTTCCCTTTCTGCTTTCATGTCACACGTTTTATTACTCTTACCCTCTTCCACACAGCCTCACTCTGCCTATCTCATCGTTCCTTTTTACTTCTGTACCACCTGTGGCCAAATCTAGATGGAAACAAGAATCCTGTCAAGCAGAAGAGGCAGCCTAGTTGCTAGAGTGTTTGTTTTGATTCCTGGCAGCATATAAACTGAGTATGATGACATAGGCCTGCAATCTTCATCTTAGCTCTCGGGAGGTAGAGGCAGGGTGGTTCAGAAGTTCAAGGTCATCTTTGGCTATACAGTGAATTTGAGGCCAGCCTGGGATACATTAGACTTTATCTCTAAATAAATAAGTAAATAAATAAATAATAAAAAGAAAAAGGGTGTCAAGAACCTTTTTTTTCCTGCTCTTTTACATAAAATATGCATATTCAGTAGGTTTCATCATACTAACAGATTTCCTCGAGTGCTTAGAGGTTAGTAAGTGCTCCCTTAGTGAACATGTCGGTTAAGTGATTGTTTCATAGAATGTTGGTCTTCTCGAAAGATACTTTCTAAAAAGTATATTCTAAATTAAAATAAGCACAGCATAGCTGCTTACACAGTGTAATCAAAAAGGCTGAACTTTGTGGTGTTGAACAGTCATAAACAATTGGATATAGAGAATAACTGTCCAAAACCAGGTTAAGTAGCTACATATGTTGATTCCTAAGTAAACAGAAAAAAGTGAGTATTAGCCATATAGCTAATATTTATAATCATATGATAGTCACGAAATGTTGGTGTAAAGCTAGTATGAACCAGAAGTATATAAAAGTACATAAATTACTTCTTCAACGCTTATTTTAGATATTTGATTAAATATATAAGTTTTTGAAACATTTTCCCTATTTTGTTTACAAAAATGGGTCCTGCTTCCTGGGCATTTATTTGTTTGCCTTTCTCCAGACCCTCCTGCCTTCCAAACACAACAAATAATTTTTGCTCAGAGTAAAATAATTTACTTTGCAGTTCGTTCAAATATTATTCATTTTCAGCTTTGCAGAATTTAATAATTATAAACAAGTAGCTATCTGGGAAGCACAAAGCATAGACTTCAAAGATCCCGTAACCTGATATTTGTTCGGTCCCAAATCGGTGTTTTAATTATTTCCTATTCCCTCCATGTGACAGATTGGGTTCTTGGTGCTCTTGATGGCTAAATTAATCTCTCTCGGACTATTGCATTGGCTCTTTGCGCTATTTCCCTTTTATGTCACTACGGGGTTTCTAAATTGCTTAGCTTGCTTTTCCTATGGGTTCACTTCCTCTTTCCCACTGCCTCAGAGGCTCTCCTTTCTCTCTTCCCTACATCTTTTTTTTTTTTTTTTTTTTTTTACTTTCTTACTTATGAAGGGGTATTTAAATTCCAACCCGGAACTTGGGCTCGCGCGCCTTGGATGACGGGAGTTGTAGTTTCTGTGTCTTCTGGGTAACCGCCTTTCAGGCGGATTCCTGCGCTACGCGGAATCCCACAAATCCCAGAATGCACCAGAGTGGGTCCGCCCCCTGTGCGCAGGCGCCGTGGGGCCGCAGGATTTGAATCGGCGGCGTTGTTATTGACGCCATATTGGGGCCGGCGGCGGGTGGCAGAGTTGGTCTGTGGGGACGAGGGGGTCGAGTGCATTGCCCAGCTCTCCAAGGCGGCGGCTCCCTCGCAGCTCCCGCGCGCCGCCGCCGCCGCCCACGAGCTGCCGCCTGGACCGGCGTGTCGGTGCTCGCGTCTCGGTCGCGCCCCCGGCCCGGTCCGCGTCCGGAGGGAGCCGGTATCCGCGCAGGAGCCTCGGCGCGCTCCGCCCCAGCGCACGGCGGGGGGCGGCCCGGCCTCTCGGGAGCGGCCCGAGCCGGCGGCGCGACCCTCGCGCCTCGCCCGTCGGCCCCGCCGCGGCTCCGCTGTCCCGGGCCCGCAGCCACCGGGCACCTCGGAGGGCCCGTTCGCCCCCGGCCTTGCCGGCCCCGCCCGAGCCGGGCCTCGGCCGCCCGCCGCCATGGCGTGCGGAGCCACTTTGAAAAGGACTCTGGATTTCGACCCGCTGCTGAGCCCCGCGTCTCCGAAGCGGAGGCGGTGCGCCCCTTTGTCGGCCCCGGCGTCGGCCGCCGCCTCCCCTGCCGCCGCCACCGCCGCCGCCACCGCCTCGGCCGCCGCCGCCTCGCCGCAGAAGTATCTCCGGATGGAGCCTTCCCCGTTCGGCGACGTCTCGTCCCGCCTCACCACAGGTGGGCCTGGGCCCCGGGGCTGCCGGGCACAAAAGGGAGGGCGGCGGCGGGGCGGGGGCCCGGGCCGCGGCCGCCGGCTTTGTGGCCTTAGCTCATTGTGAGGAGGGTCACCTCGGGGCAGGGTCGCGGGGACGGCTTCCTGATGCCGGGAGCCAGCGGAAACGATCTGAGAGGGTGATAGTATTCCTAAGCCGGCGAGAGAAGGGTCACGTTCCGTCCGCCCGAGTCCCCCGGTCTCTTGGGCTGAGTCGATTGGTTGCAGCTATTAACTCAGTGACTGAGTGGTTTGGAGCGAGAAGGCGGCCCCTCCTCCATTTTAGACTTGGCTGCTTTTTAGCGTAGAAGGGGTGGGGCTCGGAGGGGGATGGATGTCACTGGGGCGAGTTGTAGGCCTGTCATTAATCACCCACAAGAACGCCACTTTGGCTGAGTCAAGACCTGTTTCCCTAGCAGGGTCAACAACAAAGCAAATGTTCTAACCTAGGAGTGTAATGTGATCTCCCTATGTGTCTAGTCCCTAGGAAATCTTGAACTTTTAATGAAAAGGAACTTGTACCTCAAAGTGGGACTGACCAGTTTCTTTGTAAATGCTTTAGTTTTCCCAACGGGGCAAGTTAGGAGAAAACACCGTAGCCTCGAGAGTAACGAATAAATCAAGATTCCAGTAGACTTCAGACTTTGAAGTCTTGAAACATTTTCTGAAAGTGACTGCCAGGGATTGCTTTTGTACTCTAAGTGTGTACCTAGAGATATTTTCCCCCTCTGCATTTGGAGATCTTTGTGTGCCTCCTGCACAGTCGTAGGGTAGACTTTTACGGACTTGAAGTGTAAATCTATTTCTTTTGTGTGTGGCATGCAAAGGTTTGTGATTTGTGTGTGTATGTGTTTGAGTGTGTGTACGAAAGCCCTTAGTGATATTCGTAAAACTTTTGGTTAGCTTGATTAATTTTTTTCTCAGTAACTCACTTTAAAAAGATGAGAACTATAGAGTTCTTATGGAAGTTTTTTATTAACTTCTGTATGCATTTGACTGTATCGAGTGTTTTGTTTTGGTTTTCTTTCTTAATGTCACATTTGAATATCCATATCTAAATCCATGGTGAGACCTCAGTTTCCTATTCTTGACTATTAAATATTTTCTCCAACTTAGGACACTACTGTTTTAAAAGTTGCAGACAGTTTTCAGAGGCATTCTAAGAATTTTACTGAATGAACATAACCTAGCTTTCCCTCCCCTTTCCTTATATCTGATACAGCTCTTCCTGATTGATTTGTGTAGAGCAGTGGTTCTCACCTGCAGGTGGAGACACCCTTGGGTGGTCATGGCAGATATTTACATTACAATTCTTAACAGTAGCAAAATTACAGTTAGGAACTTGCCACACTAATTTTATGGTTGGGGTCACCAAAACATAAAAGGGTTGAAGTTAGGAAGGTTGAGAACCACTGGTTTAGACATTACTGAAAAACAAGAGAACAAAGTGAAGAATGAATTCCTTGGGGCAGACATTTTTAATTGTCTTTAATGAAATTCTGTCTTTGAACATTAAAATGGTGTCTGAACTACTAATGAGGCCATTTCAGAATAGCTGTAGTCAGCAATAAATGTCATTGGACAGGTGTTACATTTGTGGGTTACAATATATCTATGTCTTTGCAATTAATATAATCTTGAACAAGTGCACAAACTGCAGGGAGCTGTCACACCTTCCTTTACTTGTTCAGAAGCCATAATGATCGTTCTTTAAGCTTGTCGTGTCGCTGCCGTGTTTGTAGCAGTGGTTAATACGCTTTGCTCATTACCTCAGATTTCAACTAGAAAGAGTACATTAGTAAAATAATTAGAGTTATTGCTAGGTTTTAAGCCTGCTGATAAGTTTGATCACATATTGAAACCTAAAATCACATGATAATTGATGTTTATAGTTTGTTAAATATTAAGTGGCTATTTCAGTTATTTGAATATTAATGTAGATTAGCTTCATGGAAAATGAGAGAAGATTGGTGAAGTTTAAATTTGCCAAGGTGTACTTATCTACTGTCATTTTTAATGGCCCTGTAAATGCGTGGCTGAACTTTTTTAGATTAATGCTCAAGAAGTGGACGTTTGTACAGAGCATGTGCTATCTGGCACAGGCATTTTTCTAAGTACATTGTCTTTATCACTGCTCTCTTGGTGTTTTTGTAGTCAGTGTCTTGATGTGACATATTACGCCTCAGGAACTGGGGCACTATTTTAAATCCTGACTGTTATTTCAGATATTCCAGGAAGGGGAATCCAAACTTTGATTTGATGACTACTGGTATTAAAGTCAGTATTTTTCAAACTTGCAATTTAATACTAGATACCACTTAATACTAGAAGAGGGCTAGTTGAAGAAAGTCTAGTTTGCTTACGCTCGACTTGAAATTCTTACCCTGTTAATTAACAGTGGCTTCTGTTCTTGCCCCTTTTCACACATCATATATCTCAGGCATGATTTTTGGTATACCTGAGTTTACTAATTTAGAACTGTATCCTAAAATAGGTTTGACAAACTGTGCTCATGTATTTGTACAGTCTGGGTGGTAAGAGTGGTTTTTAACATTTTTAAATACCTGGAAAAGAATAAAAAAATATTATTTCACTGTTGAAAAATTAAAGAAATTCAAATGTCAGTACCATGGAACACAATCATTGGGGAAAAGTGCACTCTGGTCTGGTCTAGGATTATAATTTAGTGGTACTTAAAATACTTCTTAGTGTGTGAAAGGATGGTGGATGATTAATGAGGGGGATTGGGAAAGAATTATTTAAATGAAGTTGGAAAAATGAATATATCAAATACTTACCCTGGGAAGTTGATGGAAAGTAGTTGGGTTTGTTTGTTTGTTTGTTTGTTTGTTTTTTAAATTAGAGGGTGTCTCTCCATATAACCCAGGCTAGCCAGGAACTCCGAGTGCTCTGCCTGCCTTTGCCTCTCAAATGCTGGGGTTAAAGAGTCTGTGCCACCCTGCCCTGCCTTAAATAAGATTTTTAAGGAGGCATTTTTCTAAGTACATTGATAATTTAATAATTCATATATGAAATATATTTTGATCAAACACCTAATTTTCCCAGATCCATCCTACCCTTTTTCTTTGCTTCCCAATTTCCTGTTCTTTCTCTCAAAATAACCTGTCAAGTCCCAGTTTGTGTTGCCTATTTATACTCATCCATTGGAGCATAGCCGACCTTCAAAGACCTTCAAGAAAATTGACTGTCCTGCCTCAGATGCCACTAACTGTTACTAGGTTCCCGGCTAAGGAAGAGCTCTTGTGTGTAAATGTTGACTGTCTTGGACACGCAGCCACTATTGCTGTAAAGTCATGAGCGCTTCAGTCCTGTCAGGTCCAGAAGACACTGGTCTTCCCCCACATCTGCCTTCTGTTCCAAGGTGGTCCCTGAGTACTAGTGGGAGGATCGCTGAGCTCTGTGCTTTGACCAGTTGTGAGTTTGAGTGTCAAGTGTATATATTATACAAAGAAACTTCTCTGATGAGGTTGAGAGCCACACTAATCTATCTACAGGAAGACAGATACAATCTTAGAGGGCAGTTTGATACCATGTCCATTTAACAAAATACCAGTAGAATGTTCAGCCCTGAAGCCCATGAGTGTTCCAGCCATGAGTTGTTGGCCAGGTTTACGGTGTCAAGCCTTGGAGTAGCCAGAAATCATAAACCCAACCAGAAAGCAGGGCATTAACCCCTGTGGCATTCATGCCACTATTACACTAATGGGCTTGTCATGGCATACTGATATATTTGTAGTTCAAAGGGTTCACAATTGGGTAAGGATGTTGGATGACTTTCTTTCGTAGTAGCCTGCAAACACCTGGGACTATGGAAGCTAGCTAAAAGAGGGGAGCTTCTGGGTCAGTACCAGCTTGTTCCATGGCCTATAACCAGAATATGTGGAGTTCTTAGCAGTAGTCTTAGCCATCAAGTTCTGGAGGGTAACTGATAGTGTTGACAGAAGCCTATATCATTTCCTGGGTCTCTAGGACACAACAGCTTAAGGGGCTGTATCCCATACTGGCACTGGGCTTTTTATTTGGCAACCTGACTTATTTTTTAATATCTATATTATTGTGTAATCAAACGATTGTCATGGCATTCCCAAGAAAGAAGTCATTTTAATAAAACCAAAATATTATGCAGCGTTGTAAGAGACTGTCAGTGCTGTCAGTCAGATCTATCACATGCTTCTGTAATTGTCCATTTGAGTCGGTGATCTGGTGAGTGGACTTCTGTGGATGCTGACTTCTTTGGGAGCTGGCTAGTTAGCATTAATGTGTACATTGTTTGTAGCTTGCTTGGTACCACTGCTATAGTTTATTTCAGGAACTGAGTTGGATGGAGAGTTAAATTCCATTGTAAGAACTCATTGTATTTGTTGGAAACTTTCCATTAAAAGATGGAAACTACAGCTTGTGAATGGAGAATAGATTGTTCACTAGATGTTGATACATGCCTCCAAATGGAGACACCAGCTGGCTTAAAGGAAATATAAATGGCTCTAGGCAGACAAATGAGATGTCTGTTGGAGAAAGCAGTATCTTACTTCAGATGTCATTTTATTGAGGCAGAAGTACCTTTTAATATTTTTGGTTATTTGGACGGCTGTTAAATTACCTCTAGTCTCTTAGTGGATTTGACAAATGCTTTTGGTAGTGGGCTTTGTACTATGTATTATAAACTTGGTATTTAGGAGCATGTTGCTCCAGTTACCTCATGTTCCAAGGCAAGTGTGCCCTGTGATACTTCAGAAGGAAGACAGTGAAACAGAGCTCATTTACATAAATATGTGCATGATAGTGGTAACTGCCTTTAGCCTTGTGTGTGCAGTTCCATCTTGGTGCTGGGAATAGACAGGGCAGAGCTGAATGGGACTTTTAAAATGCTGTCTAGCAATTGTGCCTTTCAGTGAATAATCTTAACCTTTCTACAGAAAAAGTGAGGTCATCATGTGGTAGTTTC